AAGCACCAGCTACTTGGAAATCTGAGGAAGGAGGATTGTGACATAGCAAGATCTTGTCTTAAAATTTAAACAAATAAATAAAAAGTTTTGCTTACATTAAAAAGTGGAATAGGTTATGGACTGATGTAGCACAGCACGTAAACAGAAGTCATTGACAACTTAACATGTATGCCCAGAAAAAAAAAGAAGGCCAGTCAGTGGAGTGGTGGTAAAGGTGGCTGGATCCCACATGGCTGACCACACAGTTTGAGTTGGACCTGGCGGCTTGGAAAACACGCCAGAGGCGTGTCCATGTATGCTCAAACTCTTGAGGGGGAAATGGAGGAGAAGGGATTGAGGCGTGGCCATCCTCACGGGGGCGATTTCTCACTTTCCCTTTCTCTCTCTCTGTTTCTCTCCAGTGAGTGTACATTCTTGACACTAAATTAAAAAAATACAACTATTATTGAATATGCATAGCATATATGAACATTATAATGTAATGTTCAATGTTGAAGACAAATGTCTATTCCCTCGATTTGATTATTACAGACTGTATACATGCTGTGATAAACCATACTGTACCCCACAACGATGTGCAAGGATAGTAAAACAGAAATCACAACGAAAAGTAAAAATACATACTTTAAAAAATGTATTTGTGAATGTTGGTTCTAATAAAAAAAAAAAGTCTTAAAAACAATGTTGAAAACTGTCTTAGAAGTGTTGTGTTGGTGGAAAAGCCATGACGTAATTTTTTTCTATGCAAAAATGCATCATGACTTTTCCGACGACCCAATAGTTTATATTAAGAAAGACCAAGCTCAAAAAGTGATCATGTGTACTAATAATTCAGCCTCCAACAAACGAGTTAGCGGCAGAAGAAGCCACGGGCCTTCAGAACAAGGTTCCACATGGCTACTGTGAACTAGATTTTTAAGGGAATGAAGATTTTCTACTAATAATTCAGCCTCCAACAAACGAGCTAGCGCAAGCACAATAGAACAGCAAAGAGATTCTGGATCACCTCTGTCGGCTTGCTCCTGAACATTAAGGCTGAACCTCAAGAATTTGAAAGAAACACAACATTCATCAGATGACAAGAAATCACCGCCGGATCACGAGAAACATGGGAAAACAAGAAAATACCTCTCCTCCTAGGGAAAAGAGTAACTCTTCATCCACAAGCAGTTCGGTGAAAATCATGGAAATGTCTGATAAGGAATTCAGATCATTCATAATGTCTAAGCTAACAGAGATGGAAGAGAAGAGAGATAATGAACTGCTAAAGAGAAAGGAGAAAGAAGTTGACGAGTTCCAAGAGATGAGGAAATTCCTGCAAGATCTAAAAGAGGAATTACACACTTTACAAAAGACTCAAACGGAACTGCTAGAGATGAAGTCTATAATACAAGAAGTAAAAATCTCCCTGGAAAGTATTAAAAGCAGACTAGATCATTCAGAAAATAGAATCTCAACTGTAGAGGAGAAAATGGCCGGCCTAGAAAAAATCCACCATGAAGACTGAGAAAATGGCACAAAAATTTGAGAATAATATGCGAGAAGTACTGGATACCATCAAACGTCCAAATATCCGGATAATTGGCATTCCAGAAGGTGAGGAAACCCATAAGGGCATTGATAATCTATTCCAGGAAATCCTGCAAGAAAACTTTCCAAACCTAGAGAGGCATTCAAAGATCCAGTCCCAGGAAATACAACGGACCCCAAATAGAATCAACCCTAGAAGATCTTCTCCAAGACACATTATAGCCAGGTTGACCAAAACTGCAGACAAAGACAAGATACTAAGATTAGCAAGAGAAAAACATCAAGTTACCTACAAAGGACATCCCATCAGGCTAACAGCAGATCTCTCATCAGAAACAATAAAAGCGAGGAGAGAATGGGAAAATATATTCCAAGTGTTAAGAGAGAAGCAGTTTCAGCCAAGAATACTGTATCCGGCAAGATTATCTTTCAGGTGGGAAGAAAAGACAAGAACATTCTCAGATAAACAAAACCTGAAAGAATTTACCAGCACCAGACCAGACCTCCAAGAAGTTCTCAAGGATGTGCTGTATCAGGAAAACTAAACGCAGATACATGGAAATAAGAGTCCAAAAACTGAGAAAGTAGCTAACTTAATCATAGGGACAAGTCTGGAGTTGAATACTATATCCCAGAATTTAATCAGGAAAATTGAACCAGAACAGAAGATAAAAGTATATGAGACTGATAGGTTCATGCACCTACCATTTGAACAGAATCCTAACCTGTTTCCGGGCTTTAAGCAAAGTTCCTTGGCGGTTCTTTGATTTAAGTTAAAACTGGTTTTCTTAGTAGTAACGAGGGAACTCACCTTTGAAAGTAGTCAGGTTATGTAGGAAATTGTGTGATCAATGCAATGTGGGTGGGAAGGGAATGGAGGACAATTTTGGACACTAGAGGTGGTGTGAGAGGAGGGTGGGAAGGGACAGAGGGTCAGAAAGAGGGGTGGAATTAATTCTAGCAACTAGAAGTGGAAATTTATATTTTTTGTAATGTGCATGATTGAGTCACTATGCAGTGTGTACTGGATGGGAGATCGCATTTTGTGTGCTGTGATGATGCCTAGAGAAGGAATGTAAATTGAGTTACAAAAAAGAGTTTCAGGAAAACAAAATATATCTATTCAATGACTGCAGTAGGATATGTAGCCCCAGTTAGGTGCTACTTGATAGGATGCGTAAAGTTAGACTTGTGCTCATGGAAATGTGTCACATGTGTTTGCTAGGAGGGTATTTGGATTGATGAGGGTCTTTGGTGATTCAATAAAATGTGGGGGGAAAATGGTATAGAAAGCAAACATAGATAACAGAGAAAGTGTGGGAGGAGAACAGGAGGTGGCAGAGGGTAAGAGAGAGGGAACCAAGGTAACAGAGACAGTGTGGGAGGAGAACAGGAGGTGGCAGAGGGTAAGAGAGGGAACCAAGGATGGGGGAGAAAAAGCAAAACATACAGAAAACAAGAAATGGAAGATCATTTGCTAATAATAATAATAATAAAAAAAAGTGATCATGTGTGATAGAGACAGAGAGACAGAGACTGGGGTGGGGCTTTCCCTCCATGAAAGAGCAGATGCCCTGCAGCTATTTTACCATGTGACCGCCCCCTACCCAGCCATGCCCAGGCAGCCCAGGCCCAGGGCTCACATCTCCGTGGAGAGCAGACTGGGCTCGCTGCAGTACTCTGCATCTTCGTTCCTCTTCACTTCCCGGGGCTCATCCTGGGATGCCTCTTCTGGACACACCGTGGCTATCTGGCTCTCTCTCGAGTGGCACCTACTATGTGCAGGGTAGAAGAAAAGTGTCAGGAACTGCTGCCTGCCCCTTCTGTCAGCAGGGGAGGCAGCACACATGCGCATGCACACATGCTGTCACAGTAGTGTCCCTCTTGCCACTGTCACGGGAGCCGTGGAGCCATACGGTGAGAAGCTTAAGGCCAGGGCTCTATGCAGGAGAGGCCCCTCCGGGTCACGACCCAGGAGGCCTGAGTTCTCACTTTGCCACCCAGGTCTCAGTTTCCCTTCCTATGAAGTTGGAATATCATCTTCCCTGCCTGACCCACAGGCCTGCTGCACAAATG